TCAAATAATTATTATACAAGCCATTTACATATGTTTAGGTGAAGTTTAATTAAATTAAAATAACGATCATTTCTTGCGATGCAAAACCTGTATACGTTAGTTTTTAAAAAAAGTGCAATATTGTATCATTTTTAATATTACTTACAAATACCTAATACCCATTTTCCACCATATTTATCGGCAAGTACACCACCTAAAATTTGTGTTGTTAAATAACCAAAAAAAAATGAAGACAATATAAAACCTTGAGTCGTTGATGTATAACCAAAGTCTAATGTCATATAGATTATGGCAACAGTCATGTTGGACCGATCTTTAGAAAATTTTACACTTTAATATGTAATATTAAATAAATAAATTATGAATTATTAAGTTAAATCATAAATTTAAACACCTGCATAACTGATAATGATCCCAGTCACACAAAAGATAATTATAATTAATCGTTTTGGAATATAAAATCCTGAAAACAAATTAAAATCTTCGAAAACCATTTTTTTTTTCCACAAAAATGTTTAAAGATGGTTTCTTAAATATTTGAAGGCTGAAGCCTAACCTTATTTGTACTTATGCAATTATTGATCACGACGCATGAAGTTTAAGTTGGCATTGTCACGCAAAACCAGGAACGGAAGGTATGATCTAATTAGTTAACAATAATAAATACCCTAGTTTAAAAACCGCAGTTAATAAACCCAATGTCTTAGAAATTCGACGCCCTAGCTCTACCACAAAAAAATTGTTCACCCTATAATTTTGACCAATCGAATCTCAGGATCAAGTGTAACGTAAAAATAGAAACGAACCCACTAATAAGCATTATATCGTTCTAATCATAACCTTAATTATAACGCAGCTTTCTTGGTCTTCATTTTACGCGTAACTTTTTTATTTAGACGTTTGTTTTGACACCTGATCTTAAATTTTGATTGGTCAAAATTACTGGAGATGAACAGTTTTTTGTGGGAACGCTACCTAAAATTAGAGTTTCCATTCTGGTTTAATCCAGTTCCCACATTATGCAACTCCCGATGAATAAGGCGGCAAATGTAACCATTTGCACAGTCCATTTCAAGTGTCTGTGCATACAAACCTTTAATTAAAAAAATTTTTATGCCAAAATTATTATGATTAATGCTTATTGTTTTCAACATAAACAAAATAAGGTAGTGTTACACAACGAAGTTTCACAATTAAACTTTCGTTGTATAACCGTTATACTTTTGTATACTTTTTCGTGTAACAATTTAATAGTTTATGCGAAGTATAAAGCATACTTTAATTAGACTGTAGTTACTTTAGAGTTTATTCATAGATATATATAGAATGTTATGTATTTTAGTTCTAGAGTTCTTTTTAGTTGTCTTTAGT